ACAAAGCCATGATTGATCATGAATATAAAAGCATCAAAAAAGGTAATGTAGATTTAAATTTGTTCAGATCATGACCAATCAGGAGAATAGAGAAGCCATTAAAGTGGATCATAACAAAGGAAAATAAAGGTTATATCAATTAAAATTTTCATCTTATAAACAGCAAAGCTATTATGTGTCATATTAATTCAAAAGCATCCTTAGGAAGTGTAGATTTAAGTTTGTTCAAATACCCCCCCCCCCCTCCCTCGAACCCACTTTTATATTTAAACTTTTCAATACTGAACTGATATTTGCTAGCCAGTTCCTCGGGTGAGCGATGTGGCCCCTGGGCCTCTTGTTATACTCATAATCCAGGGATCTTTATTCTCTATCAAATCTTGATAACATGCACTCAATATACAATTATTACTTTTTCTTAATTTTAACCAATATTGTAAAATTCTGCGCTTTCTATATATATCTAGTGCTATAGAAACTGGCACAAGTGATCCTAACCAGAGAATCAAGTGGGCCCTCTCCTCAGAACCGAATAACCAGAGAATCAAGTGGGCCCTCTCCTCAGAACCGAAATTATGTCTTCATCACAACAGGTACATGTATTGTCACTCTTCTCTCTCTAACCGTGATTTAACATGGTTTGTCATGTTGTACAGACATTGAGTTACTTCCCTTTCATTACAGTTGCAAGCTTAGCACTTTAAACATTTAAATGTAGCATATAAAAATGTTAAAAGCCAAAGGGATTCGGTTTCATTTCCCCTCGTCCTTAGGGAATATTGGCCACATCAGACGGTGGCAGCTATCCCGGAGTATCATTTCCCTCCCTCTTGACTCCACACAAACAATGTTGGAATTTGTTTTATGTTGTGCACTCTTGTAATGGTACAAATGAACAGTAACATCGTTTTTAAGAGTGGGGGGTGGGGGTGGGGGATACTCACTTATCTATTGGACAAGTCGCTAACAAATGTTTCTTGTCCAAATCCATTGTTTATTTGTCCCACTCTGAAGAAATATAAACAATTTGTTTAACTTTATTTCAAGAATAAGTAATAAAGAATTATGTTTTAATTTTTTACCGATAAATATTTGTTTACTTATAAAATAAAACCATAAGTTGCAATTACTGATCTTAAATACAATGTACGCTAGCACTGTCAGTAACCAGGCTCGTATCTTCTGTAATTTAAAAAAAAATTCCCAGTATAAAAGAATTTTGTGGGGATTTTTTCAATCATATTTATTTACAATATTCCATTACAATATAAACTAACTTGTCCGATCGGACAAGTGTGTCTGGAGATTGACATGTCATATCACAAAAATGATCTAGTCACGGACAATCGTACGAACATTAATATTTACATCCACTGAATATTACCTCCTTTATTTCTTAAGAAAACCATTGTCGTTTATCAGTCAGTAAACAGTGGCTGTTCCATCAATGAAACGTTACAATGACGTGCATATCAATAATACAATATTTAATGTACTCAATCCTTCTTTAGATGATTATTTATACAGATATAAATATGAACAATGAAATGTCTTTCTTTGGTTGTTAGAATGGAAATTAACGTTGCAGCTATTGCAGAAAAAAATTACATAACCAACTTACGCGGATTATGCATTTTCTCTGCAACAACTGCAACATTACCCATATTAAACCCAAAGAAAGCATTTTATTGTTTAGATATTGAGCTCTGTACTATGGCCTGTATTATACAAGTAACCTCCTTATCCTCTCAGGAGATTTTTCCAGCACCAGGAGCAGACTGACGCGAATTAAGCGTGGTTTTTAGGATATGGATGCTTTTGAGATGATGGAAGGAGGAGGGTCTATACTGGCACTGCTACGTGTTTTTAGATCAAGGCTAGTAACCTACATGTATAGGGGGGTTATTTCGGATAGTGTGCCATAAATAAATTCAACAAAATAATCCGTGACCTTTACTGAAACTAGTTCGTAGATTTTCCTCAGAATTAAAAGGAGGACTGTCCTCTTAAAGCATCCTTATATTTAGTCCGAGATAAAAATCTATATCTGATTATTTAAACCTCCATATTTAGAAACACAACATTTTCACTGATAAGATTCAACTTTTTTATCCTAGATTCGAGATAAAAAGATAACGTTGATTAAATTCCATTGTTAATGTTTACACTTATGAAGACTTTATCTGTCATTTTAAGTCTTTTATTTTATGCATGCACATGATTTTCAATTTGTATTTATGTGTACTAGTATTTATGTATGTATGTGTATTTAAATTAAGAAATATTGAGAATTTAAGAGAAGCACTCACATAAGAAATATTGAGAATATGAGAGAAGCACGCACTTAAGAAATATTAATAATAATAAGATTTCATTGACAAATTTTCACAAAACCATTCATGTGTATGATTTTAAAAAATACAAAGACGCAAAATGGTACAGTTAATTTATCATTCAAAATCAACTAATTACAACAATTATGGACCACTCTTACCCGTGAATTAACATCCCCTTGAACAATAATTTTTATAAACGTAAGGGTACATTGAATTTTCTATATTTAGTGGCTAACTGGCTATCCATGAAATCAAATAAAATTATGGCAACCCACGAATACTGATCCCAATGAATTAAATTGACTCCAACTTGTTATTTTCAAAACAACTCTGAATTTATATTTAGACTTTTATTCAATGATGCCAAAAGAATATAAAATGTTTAAAAGTTGACTCCAGATGACAGACACCAGATAGATATTAGACAAAGAAAAGATGGAAAATACTTGATCCTTGAGAATTTATATATATATATATATATATATATATATATATATATATATATATATATATATATATATATATATATATATATATATATATTAAATACGTTTAAAATTGCTTAGATTTCACCTGGAAAAAAATATTCACTCATTCTTCAAATGGTACACATAATTTCTTTTAAGATCTTTCTAAGAGCAAAATTACCCGGTTTTAAGTTTCGAAACTATTTTATCTTTAACTTGTTTAAATAACACATTTTAGAAAGGAAAAAAAATCTTTCCCCAACCGACTATTTCTATAAATAAAAATTTTGTGCGTCTTCCCCTTATTCTAATATTTACTTTCTTTCTCGATTTTACAAGATCGTTTAAGATAACAAGTCAGTCATTCTCACCTAATGACGCTGAATTCAAAATACCACGTATGTGTTTATCTTTAACTCATGGCTACCGTGAAAATCCCAATACGTGGACAGAGGTGTGTAATCCGGGGATCTATTTATACGTATTAGTTACAGACTGGGTTACGTGTTTACTGGTTATCAAAAATTCATTCAGAAAACATTTCCAGGGGGGGATCCATTTAATATACGCATTACTTCCAAAGTTACCAGTTGAATTGCTTATATAAAAAAAAAATTATTTAGAAAACATTTTGAAAATAAAATATGGAAACTGAGCTTTTGTTAAGATTTGTTTAGCACATTGCAAGACAAAGGTACCTTTTCAGAAACTGCAATATACTTAGTAATAAACTTGTATAATCATGTTACTCAACTTAAAATTGACCTTTTTTCCCTTCACATGTACAAGTATATTTCAAAATGAGGATTTCATTTATAAATCTATAGGACTACTGTTCTAATGGGGTCAAAATTTAAATCTACAACTTGGTAAACCTTGACGTCAGTCATCTGTGTGAACCTTGTTCGTACCTGCTAGTCCGTGTTGAAAGTCGTGGATACTATTTAACAGTACATATATATACCTGCAAACAGAATTATATTCACACACAAAAGTATATTTTAATCTGCATTTAGGAGATTAATTGCTACAGAGAGCTGACACTGTGCACTTTTAATGGGTCCGCTGCTGCATGCAGAATCAAGAGGAAAAAAATCCATGAAGCAATTTATGGAATCTCTTCTTCATTCCCCGAATAGTAAAAAAAATGTAATTTTTTTGTAATCTATAGATATATATGTATGCTGCATGCAGTATGAACATGTATAAATACACGTTTAAATGTATGTTAATAATTAAATTCAGTAGTGTATATGAGTTTCATCTCTAATGTAAATATTTCTTCTACGGCACTTGAATCAATAGTTACAGAGAAGCCTGATGAAGGGACATAATCTGTTTATAGCCACTATACAGCGCTTTTCGATGCATGTTTTGCATGTTTAATATTAAAAAAAAAAAATGGTGAATTTACATGTAATAATTTTTCTACATTTTGTGTATATATATATACCTATCTATTTGACGTGTATGTTTAAATTACTGAATGTTGTGCAACATCGCCAGTCTCTATTTTGTTCTTACCTGGGCTACCTGGGCTTGTAATTCGGCTAAATATAGATTAAATTACTTCGTCACAGAAATTTTCCGTGGTTCTATTTATAAATCAAAAAGCTTTATTTCTCGATATAAAATCTGAGATATTTAAATTGTGCTTTATGAATAAACCAGTGTCCAAAAAAGAAACATATTCTGATTTTTACATTGTTTTTACAACATTACAAAGAAGGACTTTGAACGGATATTACAATTAGGATACAAGGTAAAATATTAATATCATATGTCTTTGTGTTATTTTAGTAAAGCATTCTAATGAATTTCTTGTGCATTTGAAAACAATCAAGCTAGCAATATTGTTTAAGCAATCAGATAGGGATTTTTTTTCTCATCATCATGAAAATGGACCTCAGTTTTGAAACATTTTTGAAATGATTACCTTACTTGAATGTTAGAAGGATATTTGTTGTGCTCAAACAAAGGACCCTGTAAAACAATCTAAACAAACAATACGCTGTGTTGTTAAATAAATATTACAAGGACAAGTTTCCTTTTCGTACATGTACCACTGCAACATAAACATACCGATATTATCTAAGTGAAACATTCAAGTTTTTGAGAGCAGTGTAATTGAAGTACTTCAAATTTAACGGAAAAGGACACTTATTACTTTCCCACTTCCTGCTTTGTGCTTGTTGAAGTCTGATGCTTGTGACATGATTTTTTCAATTTTTTTTAAAGGACTAGTGAGATGCACGATAACGCTAGTACCAGTTTGTGTTACAAACCAGACAACAAAAGCAGTATGGACGCCAAGGGGCCAGCAGCCATGACGGCTGTGTGCGTGTACCAATCCATCAGCCCTCAATGTAGGAAAGCCATGAATGAATATCTACGTACTGGTAACATCAACGAGAATTTCATCAGCTACGATCACATCCGGGAATATCTAACGATCTGCAGCTCTATCCACGGTCTTCATCAACTTAGAAATTTATGCATGAAGAAACTTTTGCACAACTTGAACAAGAACACCATGTTTGATATATTTAACCTTGCGGACGAATTTGATATATCTGACGTGCTTTCCAAATGTGCAGACGAAATTATGGACAGCATAAATCATGTTATTTTGTTTCCAGAATTCATGTCTCTGACCAGTACACAAATGGAAGCACTCGTAAAGAGTCCGCAGTGCAAAAACAAACTCTGTGTTCGGGACGCTTTGTACCAATGGTGGCAGTATGACACTGACAAACGCACTGGTGTCTATGAAACTCTGAGACACAAAGTTGATAGCAATTTGTTTCCGATACCACAAAGACATTGTGATAGTAGATCGTATTTGGTGACATTCTCTCTTAATCAAAAGGGTAATAACAAAAACCAGCTATACCCGGAAGCAAACGTTCTGGATCTGCAGACAGAAAAAGAATACAGTGCAAGCATAAAGAAAAACTTAGAGATGGACAAGGGCTTTGCTGTGTGCTGTATGCAGCCTGCCGTTTCAGAACCTCCATACATCTTTCTATCCGGCGGAAACAGAAGATCGTCCAAAAAAATGCTGGAATGTGACGTGATTATGAACAAATGGAAAGTCTGCAGTAACATGAAAAATTCCCGCTCTTTTCATGCCATGGAAGCTGTGCGTGATAAATTGTATGTTTTTGGTGGACGACACGAAGGAAAAAATGTTTCCCAAATCGAGGAGTTCGACCGGAAGAAAAACTCATGGACAGTTGTTGGAAACTTGAAGTGGAACGTCCACTCCACGGCGTCCGCTGTCTGTGGTGACTTTGTATATCTGTTTGGTGGGAAAAGAGAGAGTGGGGATAATGTCTCCGTCATTCAAGTGTTTGATTGCAAGACAAAGTCCGTGGATATCGTGGGATATCTACCCGTAGAATGTTCTGGCGGAAGATGCATGGTTATCGGACATTCCATATACATATTTAATGAGCAGGGTCACTGCATCAAGTACTGTGCTGAGGACAATACAAGTTTGATGCTAACTTCTCAGCCGGCATGTCGTCACAGATTTAGTCTCTATTTGCGAGGCTCCCATTTCTCCATAAATGGCGGACTTGATTCTCAGCAGAATTCCCCTGAATACAATCTTAAATACTCAATCCATGATGAATCTTGGAAACAAATGTCTTACAGAGGCAGGAAATTTAGGAATCCTGAAATATTTGGTCAATGTTTTGTGAAGATTCCTAACGACTTACAGTACATACCTTTCAGTTGAGGTTTATTTCACTTTGTACAAAAAGTATTGCAATCGGACTGTGTTCTCTATTTTTGGAATTGGTGCGAGTACTTATGCCTATTTATACTTACAAAATCCAGTATTTGTTGTTATCTGTTGTTGTTGTTGCACAAATTTATTTTTTATGTTTTTTTTAAATAAAATATTAATGTATGATAAAACAATTTCTTCTTTTATATTTGTGAGGGAGGAAAGTTACATGTACTCACTTTCATGTTAAATCTGGGATAAGATCTCCTATGTCTTCAATCCAGCCTAAAATAATTAATTGCAGTTGTATTGGTCAAAATTTTATTTGTCGTTTTTATTATAATTAGATTAGATAAGATTTTGTTCGAAATCTAATAGTTTAAGTAAGAATTTATATAGGAAATGAATCACATTAATTCTTATTTTTCTCCTTACCAGGGTATATGACAACATGTGGGGAGGGGGGGGGGGGGCTTTAAAAAAAATTAAACTTATCTCTGACGATTGATTATTTTATATTGATAAATTTCGAGCATTAATTGTAACACGGTAACATAATTATTAAAATGTCACAATTATTATGATGGATTTGATTTTGGTAAAGAAAAAATGTCCGGCGTTCATAAATGCCTGTTCCTTTTTTAGACTTGGAAAATGTACTTCAAAACACAAAAGAATTGCAGCAATTTTAAATATTAAATCGTCGGATCATTAAAAATTTATACATGTATTTCCAGTTTGTAAATGCGTCACTTTGTTAATTTTCGGAATTTTCTCTCTAGTACGACAAAATCTCATTTGCGAGTTCTTAAAAAGCCTATTTCTAAATGAGTTCCATATTTATTTTTCTTAAATCATTAGAATTTCATTTTGGAATTCTTTGTAAGGAAGGGAAGACAAACAATTAATACATCTTAATTAATTATTAAAATATCACCGATCATGGATGTCACATCAATTTTACCTTTTTCTATCTAACAGCGGTTTGGTTTACATGGTTTTGGCACCCTCTCTTTTTACTCATGTATATTTTTTGTGTGTTTTTTCTGGTTACCCCTCTTGATTTAAAATTAGTTACTATATAATAATTATCTGTAAATGGATGCATGTGTGCAAATACATGAACATGTACACGTTTATATGGATATACAACGTGTATTGAGATTTATACAGATAACAGCAATCGCTGTTTTTCTACCCAATTTTAGGAAGCAAACAAGGGATTTACACAATATACTGAACTGGACAAATTAATTAATCTTCTTAATTGAGGATTTTCGTGACTTTATGTTGGCAACCCACAATCGTATCCCAAATACTTCAACACATGAAGGTTACGAGAATTATTTAGATTCGCTGAGAGATTGAAATTTTCCACCAGTACGATTGAACTCTTTAAAAATCAAAATCTCAACTTAAGTAATCAGCTTAAAGTTTTGTTTAAAGTTCATACAAACTCTAAAGTACAAACTCAATAATGCGCCTTTTTTTCAGCAATGCATTTCCTTTTTGTTTTTGTCTTTATTACCGATATATAATAAAATTATAAACACAGGGACCTCACTATTACCTACATGTATCTCTACATTTTTGTTGATATAATTCTGTTAGTAACTTCTATAATATTTAGTACATTTATTACACAAACGAAAATATTTATAAGAGATGAAACAATTCATTCTCAAACTTATTCATGTGCAGCCAAACTTCAACTACAGACTTTATATTTCCCTATTCGAGACTTTTATTTTTGGTCAAAACTTTTTGTTTTACCTTGATGCCGACTAGAAGTCGTGCACTCACCACTGGTTATAGAAGGACTTGGTGTATATTTGTTGCTTTGTTTGTTTGCTCTCTCTCTCTCTCTCTCTGTGTGTGTGTGTGTTAGGGAGATAGGGGATTCTTATTTTGCATTGTTCTAATAAATAAACGATTATTGTTTAATTTTTCTCATTTTCCCTTTTGATTTCAAATACTCCTGATCACCAAGAGAAATGAAATATTTGCATGCGTTTTCCCATTCACTGCATTTTTAAATTCCTGGTGACCTATTCTCGGACATTATTTCCCGGTGACCTCTTCTCGGACATTATTTCCCGGTGACCTCTTCTCGGACATTGTTTCCCGGTGACCTCTTCTCGGACATTGTTTCCCGGTGACCTATTCTCTGACATTGTTTCCCGGTGATCTATTCTCGGACATTGTTTCCTGTTTTGCCTGAAGATGACAACATTTACGGGAAAACTCAAACCAACCAATTTAAATATAAATAAAAAATTTTAAATATAAATATAATTATCATGCAGTTGTTTTGGTATGTTTATATGTATAGTGTAAATGTGTACAATGTAGTAATTTTCAATCATTGATACATTTTGCGAATACAGAGCTAAATTAATAGGAAAAAAAACTACCCATAGACTTATACACTAAACACTCAGATTCATGTGTTCTCCAAGTTAAAAATGCACGTGTTATCACACACTTCGGAGGACTTTTATGGGACGTTCTCCTCGCGTGACCTATGTACATGTACCTGTATATTACATTGTACGTGTACTTTTCTTAAAGTTCTCCAGGAATATTGGCAAATTCCTTAATACATATAATAGAGTCTTACTAAATATATTACCAGCTTTGTTTAATTCTCTATTGGGCTGATGTTGCTTACATTAAATATTTTTTTTAATCCTTAGACTAAAAGCAATGTGATTCCTTAAGGACAGACGAGAAGTTCCATGAATTTCTGATTTTATATCTCCTTGTAACATATCAAAAATATTTTTAATTCTTTTTAAATTGTGATTTCTAAACTATTTTCAAAATGTCTTTAAAAGATATCAACACCAAAAATTGTGATATAAGAAATTTGGGTAATATCCAATAGGATCATACAGGAAATCCCATCCTCGGGTATTTGCCTGATAATGCATCTCAATTTTTTTCGATGGAACATGATAAAGTAGCCATATGTCACTCACAAAGTCTTGGGAAAAATTAACTATCATTGAGGAGCGTCTCATCTGTCCTTTTAACGAAAAGATAGTTTAGATAAGGTGTCGGTGGGAGATTATAAATCTCCCCCAACACACACACACACACACACACAAATCGGACATGTACTGAAAAAAAAGAATTCTTGGAATAGTGAATAAATAGCATAAATTTATTAAGGACACCTACTGGATACAAATATTGAATGTGTGGATTGGTATGTAATTTTTGGGCAAATTTTGCATGTAAATAATGTAAATATAAAATTCCTAAGATATTCATATAAAATGTACATTTTCTGTTATGCTTGGAATTTCCTTTTATTGCCCCCCCCCCCCTCCTTTAAAATCGATGTATGTTCTTATTTTCACTTTTACAGGCATTATCAAAGAAAAAAAATACTGGGGAAAAAAGTAACTTCAAGTGGCTTAAATTATTTATTTTAATTCTTTAAATATAGATTTGGCATTGAAAGAAAGTTTTTTTTTTATTCAAGTAACCTCGATAAAATCGACCCTGGGTAAATCTGTTAAACTGAATAAAGTTGGAATTCAGTTCCCATTTTTTTTTCCTTTAACCGTTCCCTTCCCACAATAGATGTGATGTGTTATGAATACAATGTATAGCGTAGCTAGTTAAGTTTTTCTTGAAATCAATCTTTCAAATATAATGAGGGTAACCAATTTGTAAATTTAACCAGGCATTTTAAAGAAAAACCCCATTTCATTTTATTTGTATTCGTAAATAGAACATTGTAATAAAATTTCCATTTAAAAATAGAGATGATAGGAGGTGGATGTATTTAATATTTACATCGACACACACCAATGAATTTGATGTGTCATTAGTCGGCTAAGCTAAAGTGAAATTATAACAAAGACATTTTTGTGGTGAATGTTCATGTATATGTGACCTAATCTTTCATGAGAAATGATACACAAATAGTTCTGTTGTGTAATCTAAATATTAGAATACAAGTACATGTGTGATATTAATCTGGCTGATTTGATATACTCGTAACAATGATATGCTCGTCACAATGATATGCTCGTCACAATGTATATGTATATATTATTTGCCAAATTTTATCTCCATCGTAATCTCTCCTATTTTAAACGTAAAATGTCTTTATTTCAAAATCCTAAGGAAATAACTCTACTTTTAAAATAATAATTGTAATAAAACTGTATTCTTGTAACCTGGATTTAATTTAGACGTATATCCGATTTGACAATTTTAACCCCCCCCCCCCCCCAAACACACATACAACGTATTATTCTTCACCGGGAAAGGGAGACGAGCGACATCCTCCCCTTCCTCTAAATCCGCCACCGTAAAGTAAAACGAAAATAATTAAATACTTCACCTAATATATCATTTTGGGTCATTGCAATCAGTGTGTAAAAACACTAGAAAATTATGGCGGTAGGTAATTCCGACATCCTAGCATGTAGTTCCGAACATACATGAATTTATACTATGAATGTGTGTGTTTTTGATGTTGTAAACTTGGTTTTCCGGAATTTATATTTCCGCGCTCTGAATAAAACAAAAAGACAATTGACAAGTCTACAAATGTAAAGTCTACACGTTTGTCGAATTTTGAAAATGAGAAACTATGGAAGGGCATCAGTGCAACAATTATTTTTAAATGTTCTTATTTTCTTTTTTTATTCTAACTTTTTGTTTTCCAAATTAAATTCTTCATTTTTTATTTCTTATTTTAATTCTTACTTCTTGAAGGCGCGGGTCTAGAAGGGGGTCCGGACCCACCCATCCCCTTCCCCTGAAATTTGCAGACTTATTACATGTTTATACTAAACGAACTAAAAGTGACCTTGGACCCTCCTCGAAAACGCTGATCTGTGTTAATTTGACGACTACCCCCAACACACACACACACACACCCTCACACACACACACACACGCATGCGAAATAGGTTTTTCATGCTTGGGAAAGGAGTTTACTTTTTTTTTGGTTGTCAAGAAATTTCTGGGTTGGATTTTTTTTTTGGACTTGGATGGATCCCCCCCCCCCCCGGAAAAAAAGTCCTGGATCCGCGCCTGTTCTTGTTTATATTTTCCAGTTTTATTTTATTTTATTTATTTTATTATGTCAAATTTGATTCCTTTCGTATTTTGATTCTATCTTAAAATTTCAA